TCCTGAGCCATTGGAGTCCCATTCAGAAAGTCCTTGCCTATGCCTCTATCTTGAAGTGTTTCCCTCTGGTAGTTTACAGTTTCATGTCTTACATTAATATCTTCAATACATTTTGAGTTGATTTTTGTACAGGATGAGACTAGTTTCAACTAGTGGATATCCAGATCTACTTGTTTAAGAAACTTGTCTTTTTTTCAATATGTTTTTGGGAACTGATCAAGAATCAGATGGCTGTTGCTGCTTGGGCTTATTTCTGGATCTTTATTCTATTCCATTGGTCTTTGTGTTTGTTTTTTGTGCCATTACTGTTTTTATTACTATGTCTCTGAAGTTTAGTTTGAAGTCAAGCACTGTGATGCCCCCAGCATTGCTTCTTGTACAGGATTGCTTTGGCTGTTCAGGGTCTTTCATGTTTCCATATAAATTTTATGACTGTTTTTCTATTTCTGTGAAAAATGTCATTGGAATTTCAATGGGGACACGGAGATTTCATTGAATTTATCACTTTTGGTAGCATAACTATTTTAACAATATTTATTCTGCTGATCCATGAACATGGGAGGTCTTTCCATTTTCCTGTGTCTCCTTTATTTATTTCCTCAGTAAATTATACTTTTCACTGTAGAGGTCTATAATGTCTTTGGTTAAGTTTATGCCAGAGTATTCAATTTTTTTTGAGGCTATGCTTTATGGGATTGCTTTCCTGACCTTATTGAGTTCATTGTTGGTGTATAGAAAAGCTACTATTTTTCATATGCTGATTTTGTATTCTGCTACTTTGCTGAAAGTGTGTATCATATCTAAGAGCCTACTACTGGAGTCTTTAAAGTCTTTTAAGTATAGGATCGTGTCATCTGCAAACAGGGGTAGTTCTTCCTTTCCTATTTGTATCCCTTTTATTTCTTTCTCTTGCTTTATTGCTCTAAGAATTCAAGCGCTATATTGAATACGAGTGATGACAGTGGACAATCTTATCTCATTCTGATTTTAGAAGAAATGCTTTTAGTTTTTTCTCATTCGGTATGTTGGCTACAGGTCTGTCATATATAGCCTTTATAATGTTGAGATATGAACCTTCTAGTCCAAATTTCTTCAAGACTTTTATAACAAAGCAATGTTGGATTTTATCAAGGGCTTTTTCTGCATCTATTAAGATGATTATGTGATTCTGGATGATAATGTGATTCTTGCCCTTACTTTTGTTTATATGCACTATTGTGTTTATCAACTTGCATATGTTGAACCATCCTTGCATCTGGAATGAAGCCAACTTGATAAACTATGTATGATCTTATTAATATGTTGTTGAATTTAGCTTGCAAGTACTTTATTGGGATTTTTTGCATCTTTGTTCAAGAGAATTAGCCTGTAGTTTTCCTTTTTTTTTTTTTTTGGCAGTCTCAGATGTGTCACCACCTTTGTACAGCAGTTTACTCATACAAATATTATAATTCTTTTCTGATTTTTGTCCTTATTATATAAAAACGAGTGAGCAGGAAGGAAAAAAACATTCACACAAATGCAAAGTAGCATAGGTCTCATAAGCTCAGTATACTTGGCATAAAGATGGGACTCAAAAACATTCCAAAACTGATGAGTATTAAACTCTATGCAGATACTAATTAGATCTATATAAATATTTTTAATGTTAGCAAATATTTTATATTCTTAGCTGATTACTGCAGCATTTAGATGTGTCTTCATACACATTTCCAAGGCTTCAGAATGAACAAAAATTTAAGTTTCCACTAGTAAGCAAAACTGAATAATGATAAAATGGCAAACTTACTTCAGGACCTGGTATCTAATTAACAAAAGAACAATTCTAGTTTTGAGTTTATTGGTAAAATATGCATTTTTCAAGCTTATTATCTCTTCACAACTATTTTGTATATAATGTTTATTCACACATATACAGGGAAAAATTCACAAGAAGTTAGGTTAACTATAAAACCCATAGAACAAAATACACCAAATATTTCTGAAAGTCTTGCTTTTGTTGGCTTTTATATAGTCCAGCATCTACTTTTTGGGTTATAGCAAGAAGTACCAAATCCTAAAAGCATCATGTTTTCTGGACATTATAGAGATTTTGCTGAACCTTGTGGGGGAGAAGGGTCACAGTTATAAACATGAACAAAGCTTAAACAATAATGCAAATGCATTTTTGTCACCTAGCATATCCACAAGTCTCACATGGTTACCTTTTAATCAATATTTGTTATACACATGAATAAACAACTGATACACAAAGTATGCTTGTGTATATGGTACTAGTGAAAAAGGGAGTGTGGGTATAGAGGAAATCCTATTAAAAGGAGGCTCCAAGTAAATGGGTGCTGTTAATTGATGTTACAGTTCAATTTCAAAGGGTAATTTCCAATACAGCTTTCTGCCAGATTGAGCTGGAAAAGATAGTTTTGTTCAAGGGAATTGGCCTGTAGTTTTCCTTTTTATTGTGTTCTTTTCCAGCTTTGGTGTCAGGATAATACTATCTTCATAGGATGAATCTGGAAGTATTGCTTCTGTTTGTATTTTGTGGAATAGGAGGAGCATTAGTATTTATTTCCAAAGTTTTCGTAGAATTCAGCAGTGAATTCATCTATTCTTGGGCTTTTCTTTTTGGGAAGTTTTCTTTTTCAATTACTGTTTCAATTTTGTTGCTCATTATTGATCTATTTATTTGTATCTTCTTGGTTCAATTTTGGTAGTTAGTAACTGTCTATAAATTTTTTTCTTCCAGATTTTCCAATTTCCTGAAGTATAAATTTTTAAAATATTCCCTAATGATCCTCTGGATTTCAGTGGTATCTGTTGTATCACCTTTTTACCTCTAATTTCATTAATTTGAGTCTTCTCATTCCTTTTTTTGGTTACTTTGACTAAGGGTCTGTCAATCTTGTTTATTCTTTCAAAGAAAGAATTCTTTGTTAGTTGATCATTTTATTATTCTTTCTTTTAGCCTCCATTTTGTTAATTGCAGCTCTGGACTTTATATTTGGTTTTGCTTATTTCTATTTTTTTAAGACCTGGAAGTGCAAGGTTAGGTAAATTATTTGAGGTTTTTTTTTTTTTACAGCACTCATAGCTATGAACTTTTCTCTTAGAACCACTTTCACTATATATTGTGTTTTTATGCTTAACTGCTTCTGTGAAATTTTTTGATTTCCTCCCTTATTTCCTTGACAACTCAATGATCACTCAAAAGTGTATGACTTCTATCTTTATTCCACTGTGGGTTGATAATATACAAGAAGTTATTTGAATTTTCTTACATATGTTATGTGCTTTATGTTCTAAATATGACCCAGTTTGGGGAAAGTAAACTTTGTCTTTTCCTGTAGGCAAGAAATGGTTGTGTCTTGCTTTTAATCCAAAAGTGAGGTTTATTCTTTTCTGTATTCTCATGGTTGTGTTTATCTTCCTCCATGTGTAGGATTCCTTTAAGTATCTTCTGCATTGCTTACTTAGTGGTCATACTCTTAGTTTTTGTTTATCTTGGAAGATTTTATTTCTTCTTGAATTATGAAGGATAGTGTCATAATAGGTTGGAATTTATTTCTTTCAGGGCTTGAAGTATACTGTTCCATACTCTTCCTGGCTTTTTGAATTTCTTTTCAGAAATCTGTTATTTGATGGGTTTCCCTTTATATGCGAGTTGGCATTTCCCTCACGCAGCTTTCAATATGCTTTGTTAATGTACCTATAATACTATGTGGAGTTCTTTTCTGGTCTTGTCCTTCTGGTGTTCTAAAAGCCTCCTATATCTGGATAACCATCTCTTTCCCGAGATCTGTAATTTTTCTATTATTTTATTGAATATGTTTTCTATGCCTTTTGTTTGTAACACTTCTATGCCTGTGATTCATAGGCTTGATTTTTTAACGGAGTCCCAGAAGTCTTGTGTGTTTTTACTTTTTTCTTTATTATTGTGTGACAGTTCCAATTATTCAACCTTGCCTTCAAGCTTTGATATTCTATCTTCTACTTGATTCAGTCAGTTGGTGAGGTCTTTAACAAGGTGTTTTTTTTTTTTAACTTATTGAGATTTTTGTTTTCAGAATTTCAATTTTTATATCTTTATTGAATTCCTCCTTCGTATCATGAATTTTCTTCCTTATTTCATTCAGGCAACTGTCTTCTCTTTGAATTCATTAAGATGTTCACTTTGATTTCATTGATCATTCTCATAATCAATTCTTTTTAATTCTTTGGGCTTTCATCCACTTTGCTATCATTACAGTCCATTACTATGGAATTTTTGACTTTATGGAGGAGTTATGTTGTCTTGTTTTTTTCATATTTATTGTTTCTGCATAGACATTTGCACATCTGAGGCCAAGTTATTGATTGGAGATTTTAGTCCCTTGTATTTCTTCAGTTGAAGTATCCTCAATGCTCTGCCCATATAGGGTGTGGCAGGGTGGAGGTACCCTGGACTTGAGGTGAAGGTCAGCATCCAACTCTGCTCAGGTGACCCGGCCCAACCCCAGCACATGCCAAGCGAACAAGCCAGCTGAAGACTCTGTAGTTCCTACCATTCAGGATAGTGCAGTGTGCAGGCTGAGGGCCAAGTGGGTCAAGATTAACTTACTTCCAACATCACAAAGCTACTGCTTTGAATCTGACCCCATTCTAATTACTACTTGGGTTACTAAGATACACCAATAAAATTAACTTGCCTTCTGCTGAGGTCATAATAAATCATTTAAAAGATAATAATAATTATACATTTGAACAACTTACACTATTGCAATAGTTCACTAACGCAATGCTAAGTGATTGTAAAAAATGTCAGAAGAAAAGTGTGGGTTGGGGAAAATAATGACTCCTATAATTCTGATGTCTTTCAGAATGCATGCTTCAATAATTGGGTGAGGAAAAACCTAGCTGAGAATATGACTTCAATATAAAGAAAAAGTAAAGCAAGGGAATGATTGGGTTCAGTTTTGCCAATTTTATTGAACCAATAAAATTCCTACTGATAACAATGAAATAAATTTCTGCAAGTATAAATGTGATACAGTTTAACAAAACCCATTGTTCTGTACCTATAAATAGATTTTCAAAATGTCATAAAAAGTGCAGTTATGAATTGTTGTTAACATGTTAATACAGTTCCTTTATTTTAAATGTGTTTGTTTCAATTTATTAACAGTTCCTTCTGCATCTGTTCAAATAATATTACCCATCCCTTCAAAAAAAAAAAGAAAAACAAAACAAACAAAAAAAACCCCAACAACACAACAAAAAAGAGGAATTAAACAACTAGAATATTACACATAAGCCAATCCATTTGGATCAGCTTTAGTCAGAACTGTAAAGTCAGCAACCTAAGAAAAATAAAACCTAGTTATACATACAAAAGCTTTCATGGTCCTATGGCCTCCTTAACTGTGGACACATGAGGAGGGTTCTGAGAGCTGGAAAGGCTTATGTGGTCAACTACCTTGACTATATCTACAGAGGGTCTGGTTTGCCAGAACAAGTTCAAAGTGGCTGTTTATTAAGTTTGCTATTTGCAGAATTGAAACTATAAATATAAGACTGCCATCTGACAATGAAACTTGTATGAATCCTAAATTGCATCAATGTTCTATCTGATAAAAGCTTATTCTAATTTAAAACCTTATAGAGTAAGAGATTGATATATATATATACATACATATATATATATATATACATACATATATATATATATATACATATAGCAGTCTTAAAGATCACGTCATCCGCCTTACATTAGTCCTAAGTCACGTGCTTCGTAAAATAAAAAATACAGTAACAAAGCACAGGACTACAAAGGCAGAACATCACAGCTTCTGATTACACTGAATAAAAAGTACCAAGGAACACAAAGATAATTCTGTATTAATACTGATGAATTAAAGAGCTACAACAGACATTTCACAGCATGCTACATACATTGCTCACAACTTAAGGATAAAATGATGTCTAAAATTGAAAGTCACAAAGTTGGCAATGTGATTTAATGTGCAATTCAGCTACAAAGTCTTAATATATACATTCATGATGTAGCTGCCTGCAAAATCAGGATTAAAGTTTTCAAGTTCAAATTTTATTTCTTAAGTTAAAGGATACATCCAGTTCTTCCAAGACCAGGAAAGTTATTTTCAGGTTTGAAGGAGCTAATCCAAGTGACAAGGCCATTGTGGAAGGTGACCTGACGGGGCACTTGATTACCATGATCATTCTGTGCATGTGCCTACTTGATCAGTGTTGAGAAGATGCCAGAATGGCCCATGGTTTGCTTGCAATGTCTATCTTACTTTGAGTTAGAAGAATAAAGGAAGAGAAAGAGGAAGGGGAAAGTTGTATCTTCTTCCCAGAGAAGGCATGATGCAAAGGAAATATCTGCACTAGAAACAGAGTTTGAAAAGATCACTTTCCTTGGTGAACAAGGGTACCATTTAACTCAACTTTTTATTTTAGAGAACAGAGAAATTCAGAAAGGAGAAAATAGTCTCAACTTTATGAAGGAAAATTTTTGGCCACCCAACTGATAAACTTCCTTCATCCTCCCTTTTGATCTTATCAGACTTGGGAGAGCCAGATGAAAATTTGTGAAGGCTGATTAATTTAATAAAGAAATGTGGAATTAGTTTTATTCTAAATCATAATGTATATATGTAACTAATTACATGAGATCTGTGGATACTATTTTAACATTGCAGACTGCAGATTCTCTCCCTCTTTAATATCCTTTCTGTAGAAATTATACATTCATCTTAAAGAGGTTAACTTTAGTGGTGCCAGAAAATAGACTGCTGTAGCAAAATTTTACATACCAAAAATTATATCTATCTTATTTAGACAGAATAATGTCTGATGTCCTATGAAATCTAAAATGGGTGTTTGTTCTACAGGCTGTTTCATGGTATGCACTGAGTTGCTTCAAGCATTTCCACAAGCATTCAAAAATACCAGATACTCTTTTTTTACCCTTTACCTTTTCATTTTCAACTATGTATTTCATAGTGGTGCAGTCATAATTAGGTTAAAGCCATGATATATGATTTAATAAATCTTTGTCTCTAAGTCTTAATTCTTAGCTAGGCCATTGGTTCACTCTTGGACCCTTGAAGGCGTTTATTAGACATGGTCAGGTTTGGCTGCTCATGACAAAGATGGAAAACACCCAAATACCACCAGAGATCACAACGATCTTTACTTTCTAACAGGGTGATCCATCTTCCAGTCAGATAACCACTTATATGTAAACAGGGCCCATGTTAGAAACCTGACACAGTTTACAGCTGCAAACAATACCCAGTGCAAATTGGCTGGGAAGGAAGAAGTTTCATGTTCTTCCTCTGTGCATTTCTTCTTCCTAATGACACTACCTCAAGGGCAACGAGGGCAGTAAAGACAACAAAGTTAAGGCATCCCCTTTGCCTCCCACAGAACATCTGTTTTCTCAAGAACAGGGCAGGGATGGGGGTGAAAAGCTTAGTCTAACCAAGGAGCCTGATCAAACTCTTATGGACCCAGTTTTGTGGTGCTATATCTGCATTATAAACTAAATGGGTTTCGGTTATTCAGTACCTTTCTTATATGTCCTTCTATGAGAAATGCATTTCAAGGCCCAAACACCAATAAAACAAATGTCTGAAATACCACCCCATTTGTATGCCAGAAATTTTCTATCCCACTTAAAGGTTTACAGGTCAGTCTGGATTACTGGACAAGTTTAACTTTACATTCAAATAACTTAGAGTAACACTAGTATTCATTATCTAATACAGATCCAAGTAAGGATGGCAATTCAATCACTTTAAAATTCTGCTAAATGTTAAATTCTGCATGATAGAAATAGCTCAATTTCTGTATCATGTATAAATATAAAGATTCCTACTTTGATAGAAGGCAAAAAATCTTTTATGATTTATTTAAAATATGGAAGTAGTATTATTGAACAACAGACAGTGAACCCATGAAAAGGTTGGATACTCTGAGTTTATAGGCTCTTTGGGGATGAGGTAGAGGAGAGCAAGATATTTTGGCAGCTGGGAAAAAGAAGAAACAGTATGGGTGGACAAGATTACACTTGATGCTGCATAACATCTGGTAGGGTGTCTAGGTTAAAAGTCATCCAAAATAGGTGGGTGGTTTAGGGATTTAGAAGAAGTTGGGACCAAGCCATATTTTTAATGAACAGAAGAGAAGTGACCCAGAAAAGTGCTGGTGACTATCAGCAGGTGGCTGGTGAGTTTGGTTTGGATTGTGAAAGGCAGTCAGACCAAGATAGGCCAAGATAGAAAGGTGAGGAAAGTGAGTGGAGGCTGAGGGAAGGGAGGAGAGTAGAGGCTGAGGCACTTGGAGGAAGAGCAAGCAGGCAGGAAGGTGGGCTGAATGCAGCTAGGAGCTCCCAGGCAGAAAATATGTCCTTCCTATTAGGTGCATGGAACTGAGGACAGCTGCCACCTCAGCATTACCATCCACGCGTTTTTGGAAAATGCTTCCTTCTTCAGATGTACATCTCTACCTCTACATCTACCAGGTGTTTTTGTTCTTGGTCTCACCTGAACAGATCTGCTAACTAAGCCAAATTAGCATTGAAATAATCTTCATTTAAGTTCTGTTGACTGAGATAAATACATTCATACTACAGTACTGCTTTAATTTAATTTTCAGTCTCTACAGAGACATAATAGGGAAACACAGTTTAGGATGGTGGCTACCTAGAATACGCTCTGATCACACAAGTTATGTAGCTTCCAACTCCATCTCACAGAGGAGTTACGTGTCTTTTGGTTTGCTGTTCAATTGTACGCCTATGGAAGTTTCAGATTCTATTTACATAGCTATTACTGTTGCACACTTTTTTCTCTAGGCAAGACCTTCCTGTTCATAGAAGATGAGAAAGACCTATTAGATAAAGAGAAGAACTTACAGTGCTGCTTTCCAGAGAAATGATTTAGAACTGTTTTCAAAACGCAACATGAAACAAAAAAAAAGACCTCATTTTACTGTCACAGTGCAAACTATTGTCCTAACATGCACTGGAATTTCTCCCCTTAAAATTGTCCTTAGAGTTTAAGAGTCTTGTCCTCACATAGGCATGCACTTGTAGTGGTGAACTACTCTGATTATTTACTAAGAAGTTTATTTTTGCTATGGCATAAAAATCTAAGCCTTTGGATTAACAAGTTTTTATAAAGTGGAAAACGAAAAAGTTGCTCTGGAATAATAGTAATTAGACTTTAAAAGTGCTCAAAAATTTCAGGAGACACTATCACAAATAAAATAAGGGCTCCAGTTCAGATTTTATGATTTTTATAGAACCCTTACATTGACTTTTCTGTTTAAGAATAGCCCTAGGTTGCTCTGTCACTATTTGGGTTTAAAACCATACTTAACAGCCAAGGTCATGCCCCAGATCCATGATAGCCATCTCTATCTGACAAGCATCAGTGGGACAAACTCTCCTCAGACCCAGACTGTGTGTTTGGCTCAGAAACACTGGTGAAGCGGCCCTTTCAGGCCTCCTGCCTAGCTATCAGCATCTGCTGAGGAAGCCTGACCTGAAGGACCAGCCTGACATGGGAGGTAGCTCCAGAGTTCTGTTTTTTTTGTTGCTGCTGTTTGTTTTTAATTTTGTGACAGGGTCTTACTACATAGTCTAGGCTGGCCTTGAACTTGCAATCTACCTGCCTCAGCCTCCCAAGTGCTGAGATTACAGACACGCACCACCATGCCTTGCTCCCTTGATATTTCCTAAGGTGATTTGAGAAATAAAGAATTACTACAGAAGCTGGTAAAGTTGAAATTCCAAAACAAATGGACATTATTCAAGCATATACATCAGGGATTGTTAGACTAATTTTGACATAATAGGCAAGGAGTTAATTCACATTCACATGTGCTTTTTTCACGAACACTTGCACATTTAAGTTTGGCACAATGTGAGCCTCATGTACAGATTAGCATATCAGGTATCATATCATTATACCAATTGAACCAGGCATCTCTTTTAAAAATAGCACATTTCAATATAAAAAGCTACACTATAAACGACTACGTAGTAAATTCAATACTTTGAAGAAACACCACCCTGGACAACCGCATCAGAATTTCAAGTTTTATGATGGGTACGAAGAGTTGACAGCAACTCATTGTAGGGGCTGTGAGCTGGGATGCTGGGCACACTGCAGCAGGGTGCTCGCACCATCAGGTCCCTAGACTGCTCACGGAGGTTCACAAGGACATTGCTTCGTTCCTGTTTACAGTTCCAAGTCAACTTATTTTCCTGATTATTGATGAGTTAAACCAATGTTGAGCTAAACAGAACTTTGCTAGGAAAGGTATCTATTAAAGGCACTAATACTTCCTTCCACAACCCAAACTCTCAAACTACTTATACTTCTGGGGGAAAAATTAAAAACAAAAGTAAGTGGCCGCTTTAGTTCCTTAACCCTTGCTTGTCCTTTTGTTCTAAAGCTCATATGGTGCTCCTCCTATCCAGTACTAACAACCTTTTCACCCTGTAATACAGTTCACCTGAACAAATACATAGGTCTATTGGCTGAAAAGATGTTAATGAAAACAGCAAGAATAAAAGCTCAACTTCAAGTCAGGAAATCAAACGGGCCTTATGCTGCCATTTGTGTTTTGCTGTTCCCCTAAATACTTTCCTTGCAGTTAACACATAGCTTTATAATGTTATAATGAAAATAACCAGCATACCACATATGCAATAAACAAAACAAAAGAGACCTGGCAGATCTTTGAGTAATCGCTAAGGAAACCACCCTGTCTTAAAAAATATTAGTAATTTTTTTCCGCATATGGAAGATTTCAAACAAGATCCTGGAATCCAAAGTGCAGCACTACCTTATGTTAACAGGTTTACAGTCATCTCTGTTGTTCCATCTGGAACGAGATCTAAAAGAAAGAAAAATGTATTGTACCGGGAAAGGATGATGAATGGAAGGGAAATGATATAACAATACACTAGCCCATGATTCTTTCAAAAGAGAAAAAGTATGTCCTATATAACAAATAAGTCTAAAATGAAATTGTTGAAGGAAATACAGTGGAAAATTGTAACTATATTATTTACTCTGAGGATTGGGTGTTTTTGAAAATTAGCACACAATTGGAGTCACCCTTAGTTGACCCAAGTGCTAAGCAGTGCAGCTGAGTCCTGCTGGATAGCTGTAGCGTCTCTTCAGGCACTTCGCTGGTTCATGAACACAATGCAAAGTAAAGCTATGAACACATACTGTGGTGCTCTCTGCAGATAGTCTAACCACGCAACATGAGTCAATGCAAAAGTGTGGCTTTTGGGCCACTTATTCCTCCCCTATGCCTTGATATTGTTTCACACCAGCTGTCCAAAGAGACTTTTCTGGGGAAGGGAATGCTTTGGCAGTATGAAGAGACCATTGCTCCACCCCAGTGAGGTAAAACTGAAATAGGCTAGTGCAATAAAGAAATTTGAAGAAAATTTCTTTATGGCTCTGATTAAAAGGACACTTCTGCAGTGACATGATGGGGAAATGTTAGTTGAGTATATTTTGAACATATTGCACTCTCTTTTTGTTGTTCAATCACATTAATGCATAGAAACACAATTTTTACCATTGAATAATAAATTGTTTAACCTATGTAAGGAGAGAATCATGGAAAATAAACTCCAAAAGTCCAACAGGAAAAAAGTACAGGCTTATTAACCTTCCTTTGCTTACTGCAACACAGAAAAAAGTGATGAGAAAAGAAAAACGTGCAAAGAAAACTTTTGGTCAGTCTTTTGTGGACACAGGCTTGTATGTGCTAGCTGAATGGACTCTGAGTAGCACTGTGGCACTGACTACTTAAGGTGACTGAGAATTACTGTCAGTGACAGAAAGGACTGTGTACAATTCCACTTTTCATATATACATCTGATACGGAAAACAAACTCCTGTCTTACAAGAGAAATAGCTGAATTTGGCACTTCAGTAGCATGCTACAGAACTCATCATGATTAATTTCACATTAAATTATGGACAATGACTGTATCACATCTCATGTTATCACCAATAGCAATAAAAACAAAAACAGACATGAAAAAATAAAACAAAACAGTGCCTGACAAATCTCCTGGGACACAGACTTGTGTCCAGAGAGCAGCTCAGTTCACCAGTGCATGCTTCTCCTTCCCAGGTTTGGATACAGCATGAACATTTTAGAATGGCCAGGGGAAGTCACTCTTTGCTGAATTGCAATATCTGAAAAACAATACTTGAGCAGATTGTAAGCACTTTTCTTATTAAAAAAAGTTTTTAAAAAAAAAAACATACATACAATCCCCAAAGCACTGAAATTAAGCATTAACAACCAGCTTCATGATTTATGATCAGATCCAAAAGTCCAACTACAAACAATGCAGAGTAGTGCTCCTCAATATCATTTTTGCAATGGTTAGTAATGTTAAGCATTCAGAAAAATAAAACACATCATTGCACATTACAGCCGCCAAAAAAAAAAAATCCAAACAAATAACAAAACAAAAACTGGCTAAACTTTGACACTAGAGATTGAATAGTTTTTGATGTTATGTATGTGAAGGATCTTTACACACATGGCACCCCTGGGCCATGCTCAGGTCAGATGCCGTGTTATGGCGCGGAGTGCGTAAAGAAGCTCAGCCTGCATCCGTGCTTCCATCAGGAGCAGATTCACATGAACCTAGGAGCAAGAATGAGATCACGTCAGTCACCCTGTTGATCATGGTTTTCCTGTACCAGACACCAACAATCGCACAGGCCTGGGCAAATTTATACGTGCATATGACGTTAACATTCAAACCTGCTAGCACTAAAAACAACCTATAATGTCTATAAAATCCCCATCATTGCATTGGACTATACGTTATGTAAAGTCAATTAGTTTTTTAGATTATAATGCTAGCTTTTATAAATTATAATTTTCCTACAAGTTGTATTTCCTTCCAGTTATAAAATTTTTTAAAAATTTCCTAACTTTTATTTGAAAAAAATAAAGTGAAAATCTGATGCTTAACACAGTTTCAATGAGCATCTGAAGGTACACCTGAGCTCATTAGGTATGCATATCTGCCTTAGGATCTTTTAGGAAAAACTGTGAAGGGCATTTTTGCATTACTTTACAGTTGACAGGTTAAAATGAATACCGCCAACTTTTCTAAATTTACTATAAAGAAACATTTTCATATTAAATTATTCTGACATCTCTACAGTGGAAAATATTGGTGGATGTAGTCTCATGAGTCTGGATAGAATGTAGAAAAGGGGGAAAATTTACTACACACACACACACACACACACACACACACACACACGGAGAGTGCATAAAGAGCCACCCAGGACAGACGATGCTGAACATAAAATGGGTATTTGCCTAGTTGTGACTGGCTCAAGACTTCAAAAAATCTGTAGATACTGAAGCCATGGCTTTCTTTGCCAAGGCCATCCAGTTGTTTTGTGACAGATGGGACCTTAGACAGACCTTCTTACTCTCAAGCATGGAAACTGGTATAATGGAGATTATACCAGTACTGCACAATTGGACTATTCTTCTAACAGGTTAATGCTGGTGTCTATGTAGTTAAAGAATGTCTAAGTGGGCCACAGTGCACAAAGTAGCACATGCTTTATAAAGCTGCATGCTTTTATACACTCTGCTGGACAGAGCTCATCACCAAAATTTGGGTAATGGTCAACACGCCTGAATTTAAAAAGCAAAACCCAGCTAGACAGTATCTCTTCAGTTTTGATGGCACCAATATATCAGTGCTGTCAATTTTCACTGAATGTTTGCCCATGCTGGTTCTGAAACAGTCACCTTTTCTGAGTGCTTGAACTGCCGCCAGTAACTGTCATACATGCGCTTCGTGGTTCTCTCAGGGTAGCAGGTCACCGTCTTGATGTAAACCTTCAGGCTCCGTTCAAGTAACTGGTTAACTTCTCCATAATCGTAGTCATCATACCTGAGACCAACAGGACAACAGCTTCATCACGGAAAATCAGAACTTTCACTTCTCAACGTGTACCAACAGATGTTTATTGTCTACTAATGACACTCAAAAGCTTAAGAATTAATTTATCTAGCAACTATTTCTCCAGCACCTACTCTGTGCGATGCCCCTTCTAGGTATTGGGGATGCACTAAATGAGCAGAAGGTAAAAAACAATCCCTGGTCTCATGGGATTACATTCCATTACAGTAAGAAGGAAAAAAATTCAAAGATAGACATGCAGTATGTGAATAGTGACAACTGTGATGTGCGGTCTCAAAGGAGAGGCAGCGTGACTTCAACAGGGTGGGCCAGAGGCTTCTCAGAGACACTGACATTTGGGCAAATACCAGAAGTGGGGAAGAGCAGAGGAGGGGCCACATAAGGTAGGGGTAGGCAAATACCAAAAGTATTGCTTAAATAAAAAGCATCTTTGTTTGATATCAGACTTCAGTTAAATTCTACTAGTATTTATTTTTCTTAAGTAGGCACATTTTAAAATGTGATCACTCTTGATAATTTATTGTGTAGGATGGCCAGTGGGCAACTAGCATAATTATTACATGCCACGGTAATACAGACTGACTACCCCTTGCTCAAAATGCCTGGGACCAGAAATGTGGCAGACTTTAAAGTTTTTGGATTTTGGAGCATTTTGTATGTCAGGTTTCCAAATGATGGATGTTCAACCTACAGCAATTTTTATGTAGAAAGTTGTATTATGAGTTGATTTCCAAGAAATTTTGTAGTTCTTTAGTTACAATTATAGTCAAGTTGAATGCATTTAAAAAAATTAAAAATGCACTTAAAAAAAAAGAGAAAAATTTCTCTTTGCAAATCTATCTCCATAAAAATCTTTCAAAGACAAGTTCAAAAGGCACATTCTCCAAAAAGCTTTCTTTGAACTCAAGGCTGTACGTTTGCAAAGCAGGCGCTTTATGGCTTGAGCCATGTCTCCAACCCCAAAAAGAGCTTTCTTGATTAGAGCATTCAGTCTTCTTCCTCATTTCATCACTGTCCTCTCAATGCTAGTTTTCTACATTTAAAAGTCATTAATTTATACTGACTGACACTTTTCATGTCAGTGTTTGTATGTGAGCTTACTTAAGTTTCATGAGGGACAGCATCCATTCTGGTTTTGCTTATGCCCTAATTATTATTCCACCAAAAACTACAAAAAAAAATTAATCAAATAAAACAGAATTCATCACAATGATTTAAATGGACATGACACATGTTTTATTTTTATGATTGATCTATTCTTCCAGAATGGATTCTTGAATTTAATCTGATTCTGTCCCCAGTAGTTACTGGTACTTCCCCCTCCTTCGTAAATTCTTACTACTGTATTTATACAGTAGTAAGTACATCACTGTTAAGTTTTGCAACACTATTTCAAAGGAAAATAATTCTCTGTGAAATGGAACTTATTTTTAAAATCAGAAGTCCACATGTATCATTTTCTCCCCACAATGACTCTTAAGGGGACCTAAGTATGCATGTCAGAATCCTCACTTGGAAATGCACGAACTGTCTGTGCACTGCACATACCTGATTCCAAACATACAGTGGACGTAGTTGAACAAGGCCCTGCGCAGCGTGGTGGTGTCCACACCCTCGTGGGTGGCCATCGTGTTGTAGGTGAGACTGTAGACCATCCGAAACTTCTCGTCAAGGAGATGGCCGATGTCAGAGTAAAGTCTGTTCACCAGGGAGAACCCATGGTTTTCCCAGGTATAGTCCTAAAGGAAATAAACTGCCCAGTTATGACATGGACCTTCTCCATTGAAACTATATCTGTAAATATGAAAGCTGGTATGCAAGGACTGGTCTAATTTAGCTATAGTCTGCAGCTTCATGGAGGCTTTCCCCCCACTGGCTGCAGACTGCAGAGATGAGCACTTCCTCACAGGGGCCAGGGCTTGGTGTGTTAGTGAGGAAATCTGACCACCTCTGTAGTGTGGACAGGTACTATGTGTATACACCTTTATTTGAAAGGACTCCAGAAAACCTTGGATACTCCTGTTGTAAGTGTGACCATATCATTTGATTTGCTTCCTGTTCCCTTCCAAAAAATGGTATAGACATCACACAACTACCATGTAATTATGCAAGTAACTAAATAAAGCAGATGTTTTGTTTTGCCTTGGGCGGGGTGACAGGGGGTGTTGAAATAATCACCCACCTACTGGGACAGCAAAGTAGAGCAGGGTGAAAACTAGGTTAGATAAACTCCACTATCAATTTCTTTAGAAGTCTTTTTTTTTTAAATTAACATTTCAACAGTTCACAGGTAAAGCAAAAGTATTTGCCAGGTGCTCTGAAGGAAAGATGTCTTGTACCTGAGCTCGGAACGTTGGCAAGTGCTCTTCTCCTCGTCTAGCAAAGTCTTCATACCCAAAACCAGGGTCTTCGATATATCGAGAGACATCAGCTGTGATAATCCTGTCGTCCTCATAATCTAAGCCAATGATGAACAAGCCAGTGTTAAGGATATTGTTGACAGGAAGATAATAAAACTGGACTCATTTTCCTCCATGTTTTAGCTTTCCATGGATTTATGAAGTGGTGATACTGATTAGATGGCTCAAATTCACATAAAATACTTAGTTGAATACAATTTTAGTATCACATACTTGGAATTACACTCAGTAGCCCAGGATCAATACAGTAAGTTTATGAATTTAGGGATAGAATACAATGCCTATCTGTGAATACAGTCTAAATGACATCTTTGATGTTTCCAGGGGATAAAGTGGGCGTGAGGCAAGAGGGGAGATGAAGTTTTGTGAAAGACTACTTTGAGAAAGACTGTGTTAACATGATGTGGTGCTCACAGTGGAGGTGAGTTCAACACGCCTCACTTTCAGTTTAGAGGCAGGAGGGACTGGACACCAGGCACTGCCGTTCTTGCTGTTCACCTGGGCATTGGTTAAATAGGACACTCACAGAGCTTCACACCTAAGTCCATGTGCTAATCAGACTGTGACTAGAGGCACTAGGCTAGGAAGGCAAAGTAATGTTCTGAGACAGGTGACTTCTGCATCCTTGATGACACTAAAACTTTACTACTGAGAAACTTTAACTGTTCCATGCATATTGACTTGGGTTAAAGATAATTTTCTTCTAACTCACTGCTTTTTAGATTAATCCACCTGTACAATGACTTTTTTCTGATTTTAACCAATAAGAGGAAATGAACAGGCTTTATTTGTTTTTTCTACTCTAGAAATACACATATATTTCTCCAAAATAAAAGAAAAACTTTGCTCCTATGCAAGGAATATTTTCTTAATAGTTATTTTAATTGATATTAAACAAATCTAACATTTAACAAATATTAAATAAAATAACAAAACTATTATGGTATAATAAAAGCTATAATTCTTTTTTTTTTTTTTTTTGGCAGTACTGGAGTTTGAACGCAGGGCCTCACACTTGTTCTACATTGCAGGTGCTCTACACTGGAGCCACTCTTCCAGCAAAATCTATAATCCTTATCTGGACAAAATTCAGAGAATTTAAAACACAGGCACAATTACGTAATCTTTTTTTGAAAGACTACTGACTACAGGATACTTCATTATCATTAATCTTGGTATTTTATGGAAATCTTAGCAGTAAGTATCCTTTTCTCAGAAGTTACCTTCTTTTAAGATTCTGAAACATTTAAATGCTTTTAGTTTTATATATTAAATTGCTACCACATTCTTTGTATTGTAAGTAGTAGGTAAGTTTCTATCTTTATTTAGGTTGCTGCTATGGACCCACAGGGGTATTGACAACAGCAGGAAAGATCAGGTGACCAGGCTATGCACTTATGGGCACGTCTCACTAAAATTCTAACCCTTATTACACAGATGGAGGAGAAAGCAGCACTTGTACAGCACTTCTACATACCAGATACTATGTGATATCCTCAGTATTTTTCTTTGTTTAGTAACACACAAAAAAAAATCCACTTAAGAAATAAACAAACTGTAAATTACTAATACCATTGTCAGTACTAAACATGAGTTTTTTTTCTACATTATATTTGTGTAGCCGACAAATTTGCCACTGGGAATGGTTAATAACAAGAATAAATATATAATGAAATGACTGCTTCCTTGAATGGTTCACACGATATGACCCTTTTTTTATTAAAATTGGAACATAGTTCCTGAATAAGGACCCAGATTTACTAGTTAACTCACTTTCAAAGGTGGCAGTCCCTGTTTAAGGGTCTAAGAAGGTAGACACTGGGATCATTATACACAGATACACACATTTTTTTTTTTTTGGCCAGTCTAGGCTGGCCTCAATCTTGCAATCTTCTTGCCTCAGCCTTCTGAGCACTGGGAGTCCAGGTATATGCCTCCACACCTGGCCTACATTTTCAATATTTCGAAAACCCTAAGTCAATAAAAAAATTCCTATCCTTCAAGTTCCAGTGGTCTCAAAGGGGAACAGGAACTAGAGAAAAGGTTAGATCAAAAAGAATTAACCTAGAAGGTAACACCCACGCACAGGAAATCAATGTGAGTCAATGCCCTGTATAGCTATCCTTATCTCAACCAGCAAAAACCCTTGTTCCTTCCTATTATTGCTTATTCTCTCTCTACAACAAAATTAGAGATAAGGGCAAAATGGTTTCTGCTGGGTATTGAGGGGGGGAGCGGGAGGGGGTGGAGTGGGTGGTAAGGGAGGGGGTGGGGGCAGGGGGGAGAAATGAACCAAGCCTTGTATGCACATATGAATAATAAAAGAAAAATGAAAAAAAAAAAGTTCCAGTGGTCTCCAAGAAGCATATTAGAAGCAAACACACATTCCTAATGGTACTCAGAATGTATACATTTTAAAATCTTGGTATACTAAAGGGTTTGTTATTTTTCTTCGCTTGTTCTCCTTGGGTTTTTATAATCAACTCTTTTGATTTTAGCTCCCAGTTATATATCCCAATGACTTCCTAAACTTTACCTCAAGCTATTAACATGCTCTCTTGGTCTCTTGCGTGCTACCCTCTTCTACTCCAAGCCCAGGTTGCAGCACCACAGCACTGGCCCCCTTGGACCTCCTCACCCTCCAGACTGACTCACAGCATCTGCTTCTCAAAGAGCATCCCGAGCAAACAAGAAGCACAGTAGATGCTAGACGTCTCAGGAGCACCTTGACGGAATGTCAATAATACGATAAGCTGCATCTCCTCAGATTAGTAGGGCTCCTCTCAACTATCTGCCTCAGATTTATGTCCTGACAATGCAGAATGACAGGCTTCTATACCCAGCACCCTGCTTTCTCACACCCACATTTACTCAGGCTGGGTGCTGTTTGTCATGTCTTCCTGTAGCCCAGCCACCCACAGGCATTGCCTGGCTTCCTCTCACTTCAGCTCTGCAACTTACCTTAGAGAAGGGCAACAGGAATTCTTTGCCTAGGACCCCTCTATATATGCTCCTCCCCAACAGGACTGGGCTCAGTGCGCTCTTCTATGCTCTGTTTTATATTATAATTATTCCTTTCTCTCCCACTAGCATGACAGTGCCCTATAGGCAAAAGTCATGTCTTATTTAGACTCAAAATCTTAATACCTACCACAGTGCTGAGACTACATGAGGTACTCAATAAGTGCAGGTAACTACAACACCAAGCTTCTTTATTTGGGGTTTCCTGCTGAGTATAATTCTGATTTGTACCTACAGTAGCCTTCAATGAATTAAATGAATTAAAATGGCTAGCCAATTAGATAGATATAACCTTCTATAAAAACCAAAAAGATCATCAGAATGGCAGGTAAGGTAGTACACACCTGCAATCACTCAGGAGGCTGAGGCAGAAGGAACGTAAATTCAAGGCCAGCCTGGGTTATATATTGAGTTCCAGGCAAGTCTGGGAGTGGGGAACACATGAGGGGAAATGAAAAAAGGCATTCTAGTTCTTCCTGTAAAACTTCTGAGAGCTATTGGTCAATGCCATATTTAACAGTAACAAACAAGTTATAGCAAAAACAATTCTCAGAATCAGAGACTGGCTAATCTATGATTAAAACTGTAATTTCTGTTTTAAAAAGAAACACTGTATAGATGGATGACTTTTGAAGGGCTTAAACTCTGTATTGAGTTTGTACTACTTTAATAAGATTACTATGTGTTCAACAGTCAAAATTGAAAAGCTTCCTTTCCATTTCAAAGTCCTTTAAGAGTATTAGAAGGATCCTAAAGAATCCTAGCTTTTAATACAGAATAAAGTCATCCAAATTCAATCGAAGAAAATGACCTATACAAACATTTTTATAAAATTTCAACAAAATGCAAATGTGAGAACAACAATACTCTGAAACTGATCTGGAAAAGCAGCTATATAAGAACAATCTCCCCATGTCAAAATAGCAAGTATTTACAAAGATTTCTGCTGAAACAGGATTTTACTTACCATTTTTAAAAAAAAAAAATCACAAGATTAGAATGAATCAAACATCCTCATCTAACTTCATCAACAATTGGTCTGCTTTAAACATCTTATCCAAGACAGAGTATGGACAATAAGGCTGGACATTGGTCTCAAGTGGCTTGCATGAAGATGCATCAAGGATGTACCGTGCATACAAAGATGGAACTGAAGCTTCCTTGGTTGATAGCACAGGGCTTTACTACACAATTGTGGTGATGCTGGTGTGACAAACCTACTGCTCTGCCAGCCACATAGAAGTACAGCACGCACAATTATGCACATTGGGAATACTTGATGACAAACATCTATGGTACTGGCTTGTGTGTTTACTACACCACACTTCTTATTGTTATTTTGGAGTGTATTCCTACTTATAAAAAATGTTTTGTAAAACAGGATGCTGCATTATGCTGACAGCAGCTTTATACATCTCTACTGTGTCTTTTTTGCATCAGAAGCCACACTGAGTGATCGACCTATACTATCTAGGTTTGCGTGAGTATGATTTATAGCGTCCACGTAACCCTGATGTTAAGCAAGGCATGACTGACTGTACATTCAAAGATGCACCTGCTAAAAGGGAGAGCAGTAGCATTAGGGATGGGAAGGGGAGGAGAGATAAAGAAGAGAAAGATGGAAGCGGGGTTGGTTTTATACATCCATACTAAAGATACTACAGGCTGTTCTGTTGATGCTCTATGAGCAACTAAACAATAGTGACAAAGAAGCACCTGAATGAGGAAATGAATGGAAAGTGTCTCCAGAGACCACAAAGAGGCTTTCTTTCTTTTCCTTCTCAAAGCGAGTGGTCATTTCTTCCTGAGATGCCTCTTCATCTTCCCTTTCTTCCTGAAGCCTTTTCATTCTTCCCATCAAGGCTTCTAGCTCACTTAGAGAATCCACAATCTGTGTAAGATAATGTTGGGTGTTATTAGCGTTAAAAATGGTCAAAACGAACATCATCTCCCTGTGTCACCTCATTCTGCACAGCAGCTCAGGCAGTTACTAAGGCTGTGGGGGAGATGCTGGCCAAATGACACAGACCTACAATTAGGAGAAATATTTTGAAAAGTGTGTCCAGGATAGGCAGACACAGAGAGAAAAAGTGGGTAAGTGACTGCCAGGCGCTGGGGGGGGGGCGGCAGTGGGGGAAGCAGAGGGGGAGGGAGAGGAGTCTCCTCACGTGATGACAGTGATTGCCCCACTGTGACCACGTGACTACTGGATTGCACACTTTAGACAGCTGAACTGGATGACATGGAAGTTAAACTGCACTAACACTATTTTTTAAGCATTTTTATCAGTGTATATTAGTTGTACAAAATAATGGGCTTCCCTTTCTTTTTTTTTAATTTTTATTTATTTTTAGCTATTGTACTGGGGGTACAAAAGTTCTTACAATATATCACAGTTGAATTCACACCCTTCTTTTTGTTTTTTTAAAAATCTAGATTCCACATATGAGAGAAAGCATGTTCCTTTTCCTGAGTATGAATTATTTTGATTAAAGGTGTTTTTTTTAAGTTCCCAACTGAGTTTTTCACTAACTCCAAATATTCAAACATTTTCACAAATATGATGATTTTGACTCATTTATAAATATAAAACATTTAGAGGTATATGTATTTCAACATGCAAATACAATTGGTATATGTTAAATTACAAATTTTTGAAAAATGAGGCAACCTTAAATTTTCTACTCTTCATTCTGGTAAGAAATAGTTTCCATTGTTTGTCCCAGCATCTTGTAGATGCTGATACCTGGTTTTGAAATTTTTCTAACATTAAAAGCCTATAACCCCTATAGTACATCAATGTTCAGTTGTTATGATTTGTAATAATATCAATTTGGTTTAAAATCCTCTTTAAAGAGGGTGAAGGGGGTTTAAATATGATTGAAGTTCTTTATACACATGCATGAATACAAAATAAGGAAAACTTGTTAAAATCATATTGAAAAGGGAGGAGGGATGAAAAAGAATGGGGTGAATTTGATCCGAGCACAAGTATGGAAACACTGCACAGGCACCCAAAGCTTCTTACCACAAGTTAGACCTTCGAGAGAATATCTCAAGTACACAATACCCTCTGTAGTCACAAAGTGACTTCTCTCTAGGTGTGGTTAACATTAGGAAATCTAAGTCAGGCGCTGGTGATTCAAACCTGTCATCCTAGCTACTTAGGAGGCTGAGATCAGGAGGACCATGGCTCAACGCCAGCCCAGGCAAATATTTTTTGAGAACCCCCCATCCCCAAAACAAGCACAGTAAAATGGACTGGAGGTGTGGCTCAAGCAGTAGAGCACCTACTTTGTAAGTGCAGAGCCTGAGTTCAAACCCCAGTCCCACTAAAAAGAAAAGAAATTTAGAACAAAAGCAGTAAAGAAGAATAGTTAAGAAAACTGACCCCAAAACTGCCGCCTGTCAGGGATGCGTTTTCTATGTTGTTGTCATTAGCAAGATCGCACACACAGAAGCTGTTGACTGGGACCAGCCTGAATCCATTGGATATCTCTGGATCTCGCTCGGGGTTGATGCCACTACCAAAAACAAAGCTTGCCAGAGCGTGGTAGTGTGTCAGGAGGACCACAGCATGCACTAGCTCAGGCAGAGACCAGTTATTCTCTCCAGTCTTCACAAGTTTCTGAAATGAGAAATCAAAGCAGAGTAAACCTGAAACTGCAGAATGTGCAAAGCAAGCGTAGCAGGCTGGCCCACCTGGCCCGTCTCACATACTTTTATAGCGAGACTGCTTAGAACTCTTCTAAAGATCTTTCTTTCACGTGTTAAGGAGAGGGCTTTGGTCAAACAATGTCACACTAAAACTATGGAGCCTGACAGCATAATTACAGTGTGGCTCCGTCTAAATTCCCTTATTATACACTAGATCCTCTGCTTCCAATGCACTTTGTATATAATATTATTTTAATAAAATGCTGCGGGGAATCAAAGAACATCAAACTGAGGAAGGACTTGAAAGATTTTCTAGCAAGATTGTTCATTTTAAGGTATTTTGGAAACTATGTCCCACAAAATCACATGTAAATCCAATTTAGTAAGTCAGTTTTTAGTTATCCTTTAGATACTGTCCAATAAAGACACCACAGCAGATGACAGAAACTGCAGATTACTAACTCACATTTGAACACGGACTTACAAGTTGTCAAAGCACTTTTTCACCTTCCATTTTTCTTGACCCTCCAGCTGAATGATGGAAGCCATTAAAAATAGTAACTCCTCCACCCCATTTTCTCCAAGGGTAAAGTCCCTCAATAAATCCATCAGGATTCTTTCCCATAAGCTCATGTGCTTACTCCCCCACCAGGGGTCTTTCCCTGTCTCTGTCACTTGGCTCACTTCACTGCTGAGGCAAAAACCAAGCTGCTTTCTTCTGCTTTGCTCTCTGTTGTTCAACAGCATATACAACAATGCACAGATACATATCAATTTATAACTAAGAGCTCAGAGGAAAAAGGGAAAATCAGTCAAGTTTTACCAAACTAATAAAAACGTTACATATTTTTATAATCATTACTATAAAATTACAACCATATACACCTATTTTTCTGCTTTTTAAACTTGGTATTTTGACATGTTCATGCTCCATGTGTCTACACTGTCTTTTTTTCCCATGTGGTACTAGAGTTTGCCCTCGGGGCCTTGTAAACTTGAGCCACATCCTCAGTATATTAATTTTTAAGCATTGGCCTTACATTGTGTACATCAATGCACATACCTAACTACACCATTCCTGTACTGTTAGGTAGTCAAATTGCTCCTAATTTTTGTTTTATTTGGTATGATAAATTGCTTCTTTGTAGTAGCTATGTTCATATTTTAGAAACATTTCCTAACAGGATTTTCAGGGCAATGGGTGCTCACATTGCTATGATTTTTTAATAATACTGTCAAAGAACTTTCTAAAAGAACCAGCAGAGTCCAAAAATTCGGCTGGTCTTTGCAGAGCTATCATTACATCTGAAAAAATAGCCAACACTCATCATCTGTAAATTTCTCACCTCAGATTCATTTCCACTTTTTAAATACAGTATAATATGGTTTAATTTTTCACCAAACTTCTGAAGTTACTCATGAAGGTCATGCACATGGCCTCCCCAATGGCCACACCAATTTCTTCATGGTTCTTATCCCATGTGCTCTTCAGAGCTGACATTGTTCACTTCCTCCCGTCTTGAAATTCCTATCTTCCTCTCAACAATCCCACTTTTTTGTGTTCTTTCTACCAGAAGTGGATCTTTCTCTGTCTCCCTTGCAGCCAGCCTCCTCATCTCAACTTACCTTCAGAATGTTGGCTTGTCCTACTCTAATCACAATCTTTCTTTTACCTTGCCCTGTGTTATTTGATTTTATTTCTACCACCTTTATCTTGAACTATACATCTGTTCCTTCAGTAACTGGACATCACCTTGTGGCTGTCATAACCTTCTGTTCTCAGCCCCAGGAAGAAGTCTCAGAGTTGTCCTCCTCTCCACCCTCACATCCAGTCTTGTTCGTCCAGTCACCCAGTCTTGTTTATTCTCAAGTTACTATAGTAACTACTATAGTCTTGTTTCTCTTTGTCTCTGTGTGGTTTTTTTTTTTTACATTATTTCTGGACAGGGAGCATGGCTCCCGTGGGCAGGCACTTGCCCAACATGCTCTAAGGCCCAGTACTATTAAAAAATATCATCTCTTAGGTGCAGCTCTGTGACTGGCCTGCTTCTAGTCTGTACCACTCCACCTGCAATTTATACTCTGTGTCATTAAGTATGCTTCTATTACCACTTGGCAGAAAAACTTGGAATGATTCTTAATTCTCTATCATTTGGTTGCCAAGTTCTTCCGGTCAGACATCTCCCCATGATGTCATGCAGCATATTTATTTATTTATTAATATAGATGTATAAAATGCATTTTACATAGGATACCTTCATGTACCATAATACTAATATTATACAATACACAAATACAAAAATCTAAAAGGGTAAGAATACACACATACACACATTTCCTAGTATTTTGAAGGACTGTCTTGTATACTCCATGATGTGCCATATTACAACTCTGGATACCATAGCTTTCTGAGGATAAAACACAAATTATGCAATACAGTATTTACTGGGCCACACTCTATGATCCCAGTTCTTCTCATTTTCCCATCTCTCCTCCACATACACATACACATACACCTGTGCATTAGTAGCCTGAAGCTGCTCTCCTAACACTTCATGACTTTTTCTTTCTATGAAATGCCTTCCTGAACTGGAGAGCTCCCCTTAGTCTCCAAGACCTAGCTCAATGTGCCTCCTTTAAAAGTCTTCCCAGCCCATTCTCTCCAGTCATGTTCAAGCACACACAGCTGTGCTATCTATCATTGTCATTACCCACTGCCTCTCCTACCCTAGACTCCATGCACACTCCAGGGCAAGGTCTTTTTCTTGTTAGCTCACCAAAGTATCTGGCACAAAGTAATTATGATATAACATAAAAATACTGAATAGTTCAATCTACCTAACTTATCAAATCAGAACATAAACCTTAGGACAGCTTATGCTTGAAAGGTTCCTAGAAAGATCATCAAGACCTAGTAAGAGTAATCAGATTGCATAAGCTCTATCTGGTTAAACAACTGAGCAAATAACAAACAAAAATGTGTTCTGATGAGGGAAATCAAAAACCCAAAACCAAACCAAGAACACTTGTGTGCATGAGAAGCAGGGATTTAAAATAACTGGCTAGCTAGACTGGACAGTCACCATGTGCTGAGCACAGGGAAGCATGTGGCAGCCTCTGAAGGAACCTGCTGCTCCCATTCAAGCTCATCAGCTCATCACACTCCAGTTTTTATCTATGCGCTACTTCTACAGGCACTTAAGCACTCAGACACCAGCTGGCAAATCGCCTTTTATTTGCAAAATCATTTTTTGTGAATCTTAAAGTTACGAAATGTTAAAACTAGAAGAGTAGACCCTTCACTTTACAGAGGCGGGGGGAGGGCGCTGAGGCCCACAGAAGTTAATCAGAGCCCAGGCCCCTGTCGTGCTGGTAAACTTTCTTTGTTCTACCTACTGAACAAAGTAGGTAGCACCACTGAACAATGATCACTTAAGGAGGATAAGTATTCATTTACACTCAAAGCCACTGACTTTCCAAATTTATCTTTTCTATACATAGCCATACAGTATTTGGTATTTTTCAAGTTTATTACATGCAAGTGTTTAAAATTAGCTCTGTGAGGAAAATACTTAACTAAAAAATTAACTCAGCATCATAGTAATCTCCCTTTTTCTTTCAAAGAAACACTTAGTACCTGAATGTGTTCTTTTGTGATCAGCCAGGGTCGGTGTGCTAGGAGCTTATTTATTTCATTAAGGTTTTTCAGTCTTTGTGGTACATATTCCAAACCATTCAACCACTCAGCAATACCTCCAGTCTTTAGAAATTCATCCACGTGCATGTTTATTAAGTAAGAACACTGATGTCTAGCTGCAGCCTAAAGCACAAAGAAAAGAATTTATTGATAAACAATTGTGATGGTCTTATACCACTATTTGTTTACAAATAAATAATTTAGATGTACTTAATAATTTTTATAACCAACAACTTTTTTTTACAGAATCTTCAATCTTTGAAAATGTCATCATAATACTGCAGTAGATTCTTGAATCGATACATGAAGCTGGTTTGTAAAAGCAAGTAATTACCACATGAAGCTAATTACTTTTTCATACAGAATTTGGTATCGATTACCTAGCTATTTTAAGGAAATACATATCCAGTTCATTATGGTAAAGATATACTATATTCTATTTAAAGCACAATAACATTCCATTAACTTGCATTCTAGTAATTCATGCCAATTTGGGCATTTATTTTACCCCCTTTAAGATGAATGTGTATCAGTCACACCTGGTCACAGCACCCCACTTAGTTGACACTGAAGCTTACTGATCCCCTCCTATAGCCAGAATTGGTTTTGCTGCTACCGATCAGTAAACCTGGGCAGAACAGACTTCTCATCTCTGCTTTCTTAGGGTTGCTTCCCAGTAAAGTAACACTGTCCTTCTCCTTCTAGTCTCTGTACTTCTGTTCTTTCTTAGGTTCTGAGCATTCTATATCTAGCCTGACTATCACCAACCTCAAATAAACCTGAAGCAGAAAGTACAGATATAAAGCATGGAATGCTGCTTGTTTGTTGTTTAAAACTTTAGCGAGAATATAGAAAAGATAATCAAGTTGAGCTTGGTAAGAACTAAGTGCTCTGTCCTGGCTATCAGCACAGCTCCCCATCTCTTCCAATTTGCATGGCACCGTGTTTAGGCTGCTCCATCAGCAGCTGTAGCTGCTGTAGCAGTTTCTTTCTACTTCTCTCCTTCCTGCTGCCTATCATCCCAGCTTCCTTCTTTCCCAACCCCATCACACGCTTGTAGATTACATGGACCAGCTGGCCAGTCTTTAACAAGAACCACCTCAGAAGTGCTATATCACTTAATTATTCTTCTCTTATTCAGAATCTCCACTACTGGTTGCTGATACTTTCCTTTTATTTAATCAAATTAGTGACTGTCCTCATGCATAAAACAATGACCAAGGAAAATGTCACAAACAACTGTTTTTATTAATAATGAAAAGATACATAAAAGGACAAAACCAAATTTGTGGGATATATAAAGACGTTCTGGGACAAACATCTTTAATCGTTAGATATTAAATACAGAAATTATTTTACTGAAAATTAAATGAGAAACATTCTGTATCTCAAGTGGTCTAAAATTATACTTATCTCTACACATACATAGACACAGCAGTTTTTTTAGAAGGGACAGTTAGTGAAGGTGTTGCATGGAAACAGGAGGCAGGAGGGCCGCTGGCACCTACCATCACTGCGATGTAGTGCCTGTGTGGGAGGGGGAGGGGCCCGTCCATACGCAACATGTAAAACTGGCTCCGCAGGAAAGACTCCAGGTACGGGGTGTGCAAGCTCATGACCTGTGTGATGTTGTCCAGGCGCCCCGATGTGGAGTACTCTTCTACAAGGAAGTTTGTTCGTTCATCCACGGTGTCTGTCTGGAAAACCTTGGAACCAAGAGATACAAAATAAGGTAACTGTTGTGGCTTAAACATGCCCTTGGTTTACCTGAGTGTAGACACTACTGAACAAAATGAATATTCATTTGAGATTGTAACAGCCATTGGAAGTACGCAGTTGCTTACACTAGAAACAAATTTGAAAAAAAGAAAGTACCATTCATTTTTTGCTTTTGAGGCACAACTTATTATTAAAAAGTTGAATTATAACACATTAAGCATGCAGCTACAGAACAGAGGAACAGCAGTTTCCATGGCTTTGCCAGGCAAGTGAGGAGGAGTTTTCAGAGCTCACTTCTCTGGTCACTGTTGGACCAGACTGGATCGGGCAAAAGCAGCAGCATCTGATCACCTGCATTCACAATTTAATTAACCACTTGTTTTTGCTATTTAACATGAAAAAAACTTTCTGAAGTCTTTTTAGGGACATAGGAACATGATAATTTGTAAGAAAGTGCTAAATGAAAAATCATAAGGACAGCAGAATACTGTCCTTTCTATTTTGAGCCTATCATATTACTTACTAAAATCAAGGAAATATACTAGAATGGACATTCTCCTACGAATCAGAGCTTCCACAAAAATAGATTCTTTATATATAGTTTTATACACAATGGCAGTTTGGGCACCACACCAAGACCTGGCTCTGAGGGTGTAAAAAGCTTATTAACACCTTGCAGAAGGAACCAGCTGTGTGGGAACTGATGGGCATGTCATAGATAATTCTAGTACTGGTTTATTATTTATTTGTACTTCAGAATTACAGAATTCTAGACTTAAGATTAATAGGGTTCTTACTTTAGAGGTGAGACTAAATTCAAGCTCATGCACCCAGCTAATAGCAAAGTCTGATTTAGAACCTAGACCTCTTGCTGTCCAAAGACCCTCACTGCTCTAGGACTGCTTACTCTTCAGAGCTGGCTTCCCCGTTCTTCTGAAAAGCTAGCAAAGTATACAAACACACTCTTGACGAAGAGAAACTGAATCTCAAAGGAGATGTGTTTGAAAAGTCCAAATTGTGAAGAAATGTTTTATACTGGTGTAAGAAAAAGTGGCAATTTCACTTTAGTTCATTACCTACCTCCTCCCTCCCTATTCTGTTATCTACAGGGACCAACATGATAGTTAAGAATATAATAGGATCCAGACGAACCCAATGCAGTTAGGATGGAATACTTGTGAGTTTTCACAGGTCTCCCCAGCAAAGTTTCCTGTGTGTAACTAGATACCTTGATGCATTATATATATCTCATGATGCATCAGGTCCTGAAAAGCTCTATCTACAAACATGTCCTATGAAATGGAGCCTCAGGACATCTATCCTAAGAGAGCCACAGGAGGGAACAGAGCACAAGGCTTCTCCACTGCAGTCACCACCCCATCTGCCACTCTCAGGGAAACATTCTGTTCAATGAGAAAGTCATCAAAATAAGAAGACACACTCAAATTTCTAAGTGAGCCAAGAAGAAAATATATCCATGGTTTTCTGACACATAAGAAACTTAAGAGCAAAACACATTTTTACTTCCATACTAAAAATGGAGACATTTTTTGATAAAATAAGGTTCCATTTTTTAAATCATACTGCATGCATTTTAAGACAGATGAACTTACTTCCTTCTCTGGAATAAAGGCACTTGGTCCTCTTGTCAAGGGTTGAGATACTCTGATTCTTTTATCCTGTTTTTTTGGTAAAAAAAAGTTTTATGTATTAATGATGAGTTTCTAAGAAAGTTAAATTAATATACTTTTATTACTAAGGAACTAAAATAAGTAGAACAAACAATCAAATAGGATTATGTGAAACCAGAATGAGTTTTGAGTTCGGGTCAAAGAAAACTCATAGACCATTGTGTGGATGAGAGATAAAGAGACAAACTGGGGTCATGGCAAGGACCCTCAAATATCATCCCTCAGTCATGGTCTGTATCACCATGGATTTTGGTCCACTGACATGATCGCAAACCATTAACCTCATAATAAAATTGTATCTGACAGCATACTAGGTAGACAATATGTAAGCTAAAGAAACAGTTACACTCAAGAGGATTACATGCAACTCCCTGACTTGTGGGGTTTTTCTGAGTGAAGGAGCAATACACATGCTAATAAAAAGGCTTTAAACATTAAGAGAAATGTAAAAGTAGAAGAATAAGAGGAACTGGCTCTAAGAAATGGAGGACAGTCACTCTTCTCGCTCCACTTCCTACTCCACTACTAAATGGCATGTATGAGGGCTACGTTTTTAAGGTTAAAAAGTGTGTGTTACAATTTTTAAATGGAAAATATTTTGGTGTCCTTATTTAAGTGTCATTATAAAGAAACCAGGAAACTTCAAATCAAAAACAGCTTCATTCTCCAGAGATATGGTTAGGCCAGGGATGTCAGAGGAAGGCTCTCTTGCCTTGAATTCCCTCTTAGCCAAAAGAAGAGACGGGGAAAACAGACACTTACTTTTCTACAATAAAAGTAATATTCTAAAGTTCTGAAAAAGAAGCTGTCTAAAAGCTGTAAAATAAAAATCTGGACTATGCCATGTGTCATAAGGCCACAGAGATGGAATGGGAAAACTGAGGAATATGGGAGCTCATGTCCATTGGAAATGTGTGCTAAGCTTGAGGGGCTGCACGCCCACCTGAGCAAACTTTTAAGCTTAAGAACCTAACAGATGGTTCCTTACCTGAAAATGGCCATATCTCTGTCACATAAACCTGTGTCCTGGCCATAGCTGATTAGACTAAGATTATAGACAATCAAAATGGAAGCTGACCTGCAGCCCCTGGCTGGGTACTTGATGTAAAAGTTTTGTGCAGAGTTGAAGGTAATTAGCTGGATTCTCTCAAACCTAAGTACTAGAGTTAATGTGAAGTAATGCATCCTGAGGAGAGACAAAGTGCCACTCAGAAGCAAAGGCAGCAAAACGGTTAAAAGCATCAGCTAATTACCAGAGACCTGCTTCTGTGGGAGAAACCACCCCCACCCCCCCGAGTTTCTATGGATTCCTGGAAAAAGTAATGCCCAATCATGGTCATTTGCCTTCATTCCCTCCCCTCCCCATTAGTAGGTAACTTGAGTGTTTTTTCATTCCTTACAACAAACTGTTATCTAGAGCCTCTAAATCTCTGACTTCACTAGGAAGCAGTTACAAAATAAAGGGGCGAGAGTAGACAGCCAGGCATTCGACAATTTAAGTGCCTGACCAGACACTGCTTTGAGGACACAGCTGAGGAAAACAGGCATGGCCTCAACCCTCTTGAGCTTGGCACACCCTTCATCAATTTCCAAAGTTCTACTGAAATAAACATGTTACATCATGGCAACCTCAAACTGCCTAGGTTTCATGAAGAACTAGGCACTTAGATTATAAAGTGATAAACTCTCAAGAACCCTTGAGGGCTGCATGTGAAATGGATTAACTCAGGATTTCTAACATGGGCACATCTTGTCTACATCAACTAACAGTACTTTCAGAAAAAGAAGTTAAAAGAGGACAGCAGATTTCTTCCCTTTGCTTCTCTCTTTAATTATAGAAAATAAAATTTATTAAATACAATTCAAGGTGTGGTAGAACATGCCTTGAATCCCAGAACTTGGGAGGCTGAGGCAGGAAGATCACAAGTCCCAGGCCAGCCCGGCTGCATAGTGAGACTGTGTCTCAAAATAAATAAATAAATAAATAAATAAATAAATAAATAAATAAATAAATAAATAATTTTTTTAAAAGAAAAAAATTTCACTTTCTCTATGACTTAATGAACTAGTATGTGAAAAGCAATTTCCTAGATAACTGATCAGTTCAAATGAACGAAGCATTACAGAAACTGAGGAAAAAACTGTAAGTTCAAGGAGAAAAATGTCGAGTTAGTGAAAAGTTCTAAAATAAGAAAATACATAAAATTTCGAGAAAACGGGAAAGTATCCACAATCTTTTAAAGTGTAGAGGGGACTAGTATGATTTGTTTCTAAAGATCATGAGCTGACACATTTATCAACTGACTTTACCATTAAATGTTTGAAATTGTTATTTTGCTGACAAAATACTTTCTGGAACTGGAGACACCTACATCTGTGACCAGGTTCCCCTTTCTTCTTCCTCTGATGGTTTTCTGAAGTCTGTAGGCTGCTGTTGCCCAGCTGGACAGCCATCGGCCACATGAGACTAACTTTAAATAAAGTTAAAAACACAATTTTTAATCATACCAGTTGCACTTAGGTGCTCAACGGGCACCTGTGGCTACCACAGCAGTAGGGCAGTGCTGACATATCCAAGAGCCAAGAGAAGGTTATCAGACCAGACGGTGCTGCCCTCAGCACCACACTGGGCTTTTTCTTAAATCACATCTCAGGGCATTTTTATGCCTTTTTGAAAGTTACTAAAGAGTTACTAGCTTGATGGTCACCCCTACTTTTGTGTAATTGCAGAAACACTCTCAACCAAATGAATAGTAAACCCAGATAGAGCCACCTCCAAACATTCATCCTCTCAATTTCTGCTTACATTACAGTCTTCAGAAAGGTATCGAGGACTGACTCTCTTTCTCCACTCAGTCTCTGTAAAAAGCACGAGGTCTACTCTTGGAGCAAAACTGAGTATGTAACGTACTGCCAACTCTAAGCACTGTCTTACAGCAGATTTCCCACTTTCTCTGGGAAGCACCACTCACTTTCTGCTTCCCAGGTAGCGCCCTCTTCATACACAGCTGCGACTCTCCTGGTCTTACCCTCTTCCAACTCAGATTCACCTGTGTGACTCTGCCCTTCTCAGCCTCCTCAGGAGCCACCAAACCCACTAACTTCCTTGACCACTTTCTTTTCCCCTTCTCCTACATGTCCCTTGAGCTGCTTTCCTCATAAATATCAGCTCTCAAGTGAGTATTTTCTACATGGCTTTCACAAACAACAGTCAAGTGAAAGTCATAGTCACCATATTGGTGGAGGATGGTGGAGCCAGGTAGGGGAAAACAAGAGTCTGAGATACAAACAGGACCACACCAGAGCAAGAAGCCAGGCTGTGCTCTGCCTTTAAGTCTGCCTTTGGCGCATTTTGAGAATCACTGAGACACAATCCTAGCCCCTTAATATCCCATGTTTTGTTAAGTATAAAACCACCAGCATAGCAGTAAGTCTGGCTGAGACTCCCAGGGTGATCTTTTAGGTCTTTGTTCTAGAAGCCAACATTTAAATAGTAGACAAACTATTTAACTATCAAACTATTTGTTGGGAACTGCCTTTTCCCAACAAAACCTTTCAGTCACCCTTCCCCAGCTGCTTCTCAACCTCAAGAGTTTCCTCACACTGAGAAATATTCTCTCCTCACAACTGAAAATAACATCAATCCTAGGGTGCAGCTTTTTGTCTTGTTGAGAAGCTCTGATAACACCTAAAAATGTAAAATATGCAAAGCACAATGCAGAAGAAGGTATTTAAAATTTTTTCTTCTGTCCATTTTCCCCAGTGACAAAAAAAAAAAACCCAAAAAAACCCTACAATAGGTCTGTTTCCCTCAGATGGGACATGAATACAAAAATTGAAGGGCTGTTGTATATGGTGAATGAAAATAACCTGCGGCTGCACTAATTTTGAGGAGAAAAATTGTCCTGTTTCCTTTTCTTTAAGTACCTAACTCTCGGGAATAAAATATTTGATCACACTAGTGAATTTCACACAATGGCCTTTACATCGTAATTCCAGTTGAGCTTCTGTGAAAACCACAACCAGCAAACAAGCCCTTGAGCCTCTAGCTGTACTGTCCATTACAGCAGCCCCTGGCCATGTGTGGCCATTTAAGTTTAAGTTGATTAACATTCAATAAAATTAGAGCCTCGATTGCAGTGCTTAACAGCCACACGTGGCCAACGTGTACATGCCGGACAGGGTTGTGTGAGGTACTTCTGTCGTTATCGTGAGTTCTACAGAACAGCACTGCTTCACAGCCTTGCTCTGCTACTGAGAACGCAGACAAGAGAATGGCTGCAAACTCAGGACGGAGCACTACACAGTAGGTATGTATTACAGTACTTTGCAGAAATGAAAACTGACCTGGAAGTGTAAAAATAGAAAAGTTGGAACATACCACTCTTCAGTCTTAATTTGATGACAACTTTGAAATTGTTCACTAAAGAGGCAAAAGGAAATTATTCAGAAAGTTAACTCAAGTGATATGGGGGGATAAAAGAGAATAATGAGGGGTGAATTCAACTATGATATATTGTAAGAACTTTTGTAAATGTCACAATGTATTCCTAGTACAACAATAATATAACTTAAAGAACAGAAAGTTGACTCAATGTTAAAAAATAAGAGTATGGAACTATTTTAAGAAATTTTAAATATTAGTAACTTTAATTGTGATTTGTTTTCAAGTACCTTCCATAACAGTCAGAATTTGCTTAGTTTTTCCCCACAAAATGCCATCACTTCAATCTAGAAGCCATATTTTCAAGTGTGAGTTTTGTATGTTCTAAGAGGTTCTGTCATTAGTGAACATTCTCTTTCAGAGTCCTTATTATAACTAGAAGTTATGCTTGACATTACTCGGTTGAGAGTTTTCCTGTTGGAAAACAAAACATTGGAAGGATAATATTGAGTTATATTTTTAAAATTAGTTATTTTGACTCTTAACAGCTAAGCTTTATATAAATTAATCCCAATAGAAAATCAAGATACTTGAAAGTTAGGAA